GAGAGAGAGAGAGAGAGAGAGAGAGCACTAGCTTACAGTATAGCTATGTCCTGTCATGGTAAAATTCTATGCACTCTACATAGACTCACTCACAAAGTTAGTTTTTTCTTTCATTGTTGATTGCTCCTTGAGAATAATTACTTTAACATTAGCTTTGCTTCTTTTTCGACTGAGGGCCTGATGCAGTACTAGAATTCCTAATGTAGAGCTAGGCTATAAATAAAATACAAGGAATGCAATTTAAGCATTTTGTGGCTGGATAATATTTAATTACACAAGTTTAAAGTGATAAGAAAAATGTATTACAAAGCCTCAGATATTCATGGAAATAAGTAAGTAGAAAAGCATTTATTTGGGAAGTCTCTGAAATGGCTGTCCTTGAACAAATAAAACAAAATAAAGAAGAAGGGAATTTGAGAGTGAGTTGGAAACTATCCTGAGATAAAAGTATTTGACTGTAAAATTGACTCTTTAGAAACTACATGTCCTTTAACTTTGGCTCAGAAACCTCTTTCAATGGCTGGGGATGTAGCTCAGTAGTTAAGTGTTTGCTTAGCATGCAGGAGGCCCTGGGTCCTATCCCCAGTACTGCAAAAATAAACAACAAAGAAGCAAAAAACAAAACAAAACACCCCACCTTTAAAGTGATATTAATTCATCCATTAAAGTAGAATAGCAATTATGAAATAACACATGCATTGGCCGTTTACTGTGCTCTGGGCTCAGTGGTAATTCTTTGCATGCATTGTGTCATTTTTTTCTACGATACCATTACAAGATAGGCCTTACTATTATCCCCACTTTGTAGATGAGGAAAGTGAAACTCAGAGAGTCATTGAAATGCCCAAATTCATATGTCTAATAAGTAGAAAGATGAGAACTGAGTCCAAGTCTTCTTACTCCTTGATCTGGACTTGTAACCATTATGCTGATAAAGGTAGGCAAATACTCTAAACACTACCAGCAATCCACATTTCTGAGAAAGCATAAACAAACAATGAATAGTAAATCATCTCTAGCAGTTATGTGTGCTCATTTCTACTAGTAGACTAGCTACAAATATGCAGCTACATTGATTCTTCCAGTAGGAATTCACCTGCATGTACAGAAATTTTGATTTCTCCCCAATTCCCTTCTGCTCCATTTGTCTCCAGAAGCCAACCTACAATCAACTATGAGTATGTTGACTCACACTGGAGAGCAATGACTGCAACCTCACTTTCATTATCCAAAATCAGAATTTGAAGCCCTAAATCCAAGCTACCTGGAAAGCGATAGTAAAAATCACAATGATAATAGAAGACAGGAAAAAGGAAGGAGGCTGGGAGAAGACAAAGGACCTTACCAATTGGTACCATGACTCTTTGGCTGATTGAATTAGTATTTTTTAGATGATGAGCCAAACTGTGGATTACTCCATTAGTAAGAGCTATCATTTACCTTGACATTTTGCCACAAGGCAAACTTAGATTTTCCAAAAGAAAGTACCCTTAGACATTTGTGCAGTTTTAAATTATAGACCAAATTAGATGGGCTAACTACAGCCATGTCCTCTTATTACTATGATTTGGAGGTTACATTACAAAGCGCTGTCCTTCCCATGCCCAAGGACAGATGTGGCATGCTTCTATTCCTGTGGTGTACTGGAGATGGGCTCCTAACAGGACTGGCAAGCCCATGCCATTCATGAGCCGGAGCATTGGATGTGGAGGCATTGCACACAGCCTACTGAATTTGATTTTTAAAGACATATTAAACCACTTACATAAATACAAATAAGTTATGTTTGTTCTTTATTAAATGCTGAGCCAAGTCATTTGATATTAGCAGTTGCCAACACAGTAAAAGATCAGAGTCAGAATACATTTATTTTGTATACAAAGATGAAGTAGATGTTATTTGAAGCCCAGTTAAGCAATCATCCTGGAAAGACTGCCTTTCATAGCTTAAGCTGCTACACCAGAGCTTTGACTGCTGCAGTGGTTCTCAAAAGTTACTGCATGTTGGAACCATCTGGAAGGCTGGTTAAAACACTGATAGCCCCTTTCCAAGAGAGCTTCTAAGAGTAGGTCTGGGGTGTGTTGTGAGAATTAGCATTTTAAACAAGTTCCCAAGTGCTGCTGCAGCTGCTACTTCTGACACTACACTCTGAGAATCACTGGTCTCATGTATCCTTTTACGGAGCAAACAAGCTTGGGCTCTCAACCACCATTCTTAGAATCTTTTTGTTTGGTTCTGGGGATTGAACCCAGGCCCTTTGAGCATGCTAGATAGGCACTCTGCCACTGAGCTACATCTCCAGACTCAACTACCATTCTTAACTGCTATGAGATGTGTACCTGAGCACATACTCAGCGGGAAATCCATACCTGCCCATTCATTGCTTTGGACTGAGTAATTGCATTCACATTTGCCTTTCTTTTCTTTCTTTCTGTTTGGCAGTGCTAGGGCTGGAACTCAAGGCTTCCCTCTTGCTAAGCAGGCACTCTATCTCCTGAGCCACTCACCAACCCTGTTTTGTATTGGATATTTTCAAGATAGGGTCTTGTGGACTATTTGCTATGACTGGCTTTGAGCTACAATTCTTCTGGTATCTGTCTCCTGAGCAGCTAGGATTACAGGCTATACTCCCAGCAACTCAAGGGGCTGAGGCAGGAGGATCATGAGTTAGTTTAAGACCAGCCTGGATACATAGTGAGAACCTATTTCAGAATAAAATTAAAAAGGGCTGGGAATATAGCTCAGTAGTAGAGCACTTGTCTAACATGCAGGAGACTCTGGTTTCAATCTCCAGCACCACACACACACACACACACACACACACACAAATGTATCTTTCATCAAAAAACTCCCTTGACTGAAGTTTTGCTAAGAAAAGGGGTATATCTTATAGTCATCTATTTTGTTTTGTTAGTAATCTAAGAGGTTGCAGATGTCTTTGATTTCAGCTTTTTGTTGTTAGGGAAAGACATAATTTTTCATCTTGATAACCCCTCAGTTAAACATACAATTTTAATGGATTAGAAAGGTTTCTGAATTGTTCTAATTCTATTAAATATCTGATTGTGAAAATTGTATGGAAAGAAAATACCAAGTATCTCAATAAAACCATTACCAATATAATTACTGCTTTGTATAAACTAAAATTTACCATAGTAATGATTAGAAAATAATGTAGGAGTATAGATTTTTTATGAAGTTTGTTCTTCATTGATTTATTGACAATATCCATCACTTTCCACAAAATAATGGCCCATATCCAAAATAAAATAATTTCAAGCTATTTAGTAAACACTATAGATATCTAATATTAACTGGAATCACCATTACTTGGCAGATGTGTAAGATGAAAAAATGGAAATTGCAAAACTTCTGTATAATTTTGCTGATGCCAAGTCATGATAAAGATTATTACAAGTTTCAAATGTATGATGGTTCAAATTAATTATGTTTTGATGAATATCTAATGTTTAAGAACAATAGATAAAATTTATAGGGAGTATAAATCTTTGGTTTATCAAAAATGTGGCTAGTTTGTTAATGGATTCTACATTCTTACACAGAAAAATAAAGTCTGTTGCATCAAGGGATGCCCTTATGCAATGCTTTTCATAAATGACTTTTGCCTTTCCTGCCAGTGCACACACGCTGTGGGTGTTCCCTGGCTATGGGTCACTGCTAGCATTTCTCATTAGCCTTTTCTTCCAGGCAAAAACGTTGATCAGAAAGCATTGAGAGCGAAGGTATCGTATGAATAATCCATCCTTGATTTGTCTCTGCTTTATACAATGTTAAAATAATTTTCTAAGTCTTGTTATTTTACCTACTAGTTTAAAATGACCTGGAGCATAGCTCACAAATAATAGGGACACAGAAGTTCAAACTACTGCTCCACAGAATGCTATCACTACTTACCTCCCAAGCAATAGTTGGTAAACACCAGCTCTATCAGCTCTACTAAACTGATATATTTACAGGCCAGCAAGCCTAGAGAAGAGGAAAAGAGGGCAAGAAGATGTAGAAGAGGTATTGTATAATTTATCAAGTACCGACAACTTTAAGGAATTTAAATAACACAAAAGTGCTATTCTTAGCTGATAAGACCCATGGTGAAGAGGGATGACATCGTGTTATGATTATGTTCCCCAAGAGGAAAATCCAGAACCATTTGGATTTGTTTGTGAGTCTATGCTTCACAAACTCTTACAAGTAATTTTCATATAAAATTCTAGTATAAAGCACTATTGTACATTGCTTGGTTTAGACGGTGGTTCCAAGCACAACTTGGTTTTGCTTTATTTTGTTTGTTTTTTTTAAAAAAAACATGCTACATTTTTCTTACTTCAGCATGAAATGGCCTGTAATGTAAATTTTGTTTTTATGACAAAGAGCTTTGTAAAAATCAAAGCAGGTCACCAGCAGATGAACTCATTTATTTATTTCTAAAATCTCTACTGCTTTTAGAACATTATCTGTTGGTTTGCACTGCATATTCATATCAGCTAAGCCTGCAAATCCTGGTTCAGGGAAATTCACAGTACTCCAATGAGTGTTTTTGAACTCTAGACATGTGCATTCTAGAGTTAAGGAATTTACGAGCCTGTTTTTAAGGCGCTAAGTACAGGGAAAGACTGCAGGACATCTGCTCCTATCTCGATTTATAAATCATCTGAAAATAAGGCTGGAGACCTAGGGAGGAAGACAGTATGGCTTAGGCAACAGCGGACCCCACTGTACTCTCCCAGACACTGGGCTGTCTGGGGATCTAGAGGCAGAGACTGGTGGAAGGAAAGCTGGCTGAAAAAACAACTTACTGATTTTGGAAGTCTGTATGAATCTACTTAGCAGAGCATTTATCTAATCTCAGTAAGGAGAAAAAATGGACTACTATTTGTGTTGGAGTACATTTAGGACTCAAGGCCTAAATTAAATGGGTAAATACTATGTAAAAAGAAAACACTGTAAAGCTTCTCTCTCTTTTTTCTATTTTAAAGGACAAAATGGAAACTCTGTTATTTTGGTTGATACTTTTCACCCCTGGATGGACCCTCATTGATGGATCTGAAATGCAAGAGGATTTTACGTGGCACATAAGAAAAATACCCCAGGTTGTCAGTGTGAGGACTTTCCATCTCACTAGCCCCACGTTTGAAGCAGATGCCAAGATGGTGGTAAACAGAGGGTGTGGCATCGAATGCCAGAAAGAACTCCCACCCCCCAGCCTTTCGGAGCTGGAGGATTCTCTTTCATATGAGACAGTTTTTGAGAACGGCACCCGAACCTTAACAAGGGTGAAAGTTCAAGAGCTGATCCTGGATCCCACTCAAAATAGCACCACAAAAGGAGCATCTGTTAGGAGAAAGAGACAGGTGTATGGCACAGACAGTAGATTCAGCATCTTGGACAAAAGGTTCTTGACCAATTTCCCATTTAGTACAGCTGTGAAGCTCTCCACAGGCTGTAGTGGCGTTCTCATTTCCCCCAATCACGTCCTGACAGCTGCCCACTGTGTTCATGATGGAAAGGACTATGTCAAAGGAAGTAAGAAGCTAAGAGTAGGATTGCTGAAGATGAGAAATAAAGGTGGCCGCAAGAAACGTAGAGGTCCTAAGAGGAGCAGGAGAGAAGCTAATGGTGGTGACCAAAGAGAAGGTGCCAAAGAGAACGTGCAGGAGAGAGCTACAGGTGGGAGACAAAGAAAAGAATCTGGTCGGGGTCAGAAAGTCTCTGAAGGGAGGCCCTCCTTCCAGTGGACCCGGGTCAAGAACACCCACATTCCTAAAGGCTGGGCAAAAGGAGGGAGTGGAGACCCTGGCATGGACTATGACTACGCTGTCCTGGAGCTGAAGCGGGCTCATAAAAAGAAATACATGGAACTCGGAATCAGCCCCACCGTCACGAAGATGCCAGGCGGAATGATCCACTTCTCCGGATTTGATAACGACAGGGACGATCAGTTGGTCTATCGGTTTTGTAGCGTTTCTGATGAATCCAACGATCTCCTCTATCAATACTGCGATGCTGAGTCGGGTTCCACTGGCTCTGGGGTCTACCTGCGTCTGAAAGAGCCAGACAAAAAGAACTGGAAGCGCAAAGTCATCGCGGTCTATTCAGGCCACCAGTGGGTGGACGTCCACGGGGTTCAGAAGGATTATAATGTCGCTGTTCGCATCACTCCCCTCAAATATGCCCAGATTTGCCTCTGGATTCATGGAAATGATGCCAACTGTGCTTATGGCTAACAGAAAGCTAACAAAAGGTCAGATGTCATCTAAATCACAGAGAACCACCGTGATGATTATGTAAGATGCTTCATAGATTATGCCTGGACTTGAACTAGCATTGCAGCAGTTTTACAAGTTTACCTTTTCAAAATTAGGATATTTTCATACACCTAAAATGTTTAGGTAAAACTAGATAGATGGGCAGGCACTTCAGTGTCAAGCATATACTCTTCTTTATGTAGTGATAAGTTTTGTTTTTGGGAAGGTTTTTGTTTTCTTCTCTCTTTTTAGAGATTAGATACTGTTTAAAAACATCAAACTGGTACTATAATAAATGTTTTCTCAATGAAATTATTCTTAGGGTCCCACTCTAAGAAGAATCTAACAGGATGCCAGTTGTGTATTAAATGAGGAGGTGAATACAAAAGGTAGACATTAGAGTGTAACATGACTATAATCAGGGTAGAGAGGAAGATTTACAGCTTGTTTTACTCTGCTAATAAATGACCCATTCAGCTTTTGCCCTCAGTGTTTATACTGTGTCTTCTCTTGGGTCTCAGCAATTTAGGTTTTTGTTTGTTTGTTTGTTTGTTTGTTTAAGAATTGCAGTCAGAAGAAACAGCAAGCTTTACAAACAAAACTACTGCTTAAAAAACAGAAATTTCAGTATCTACTTAAAAATGGGAGAAATATTTTGTTCTGTGAAATCTAGTTTAGATTTAATAGGGAAGTGAGACATTTTAAAATACGTTTTTAATATTCAAAATAGGAACTTCTTATATGCATCAGGAAGAAATTTCACAAACTATGATCATATATTGAAAAGCACATTATTTTATGCTAAGACTCTGCTGTCTATGAGGTGCTATATTTTTAAAACAAGTTCTGTAATATTTGTCAAAAAGAGCCTTTTTCCTCTTGACAAAGTTCAGCTTTCTCCCTCCCTTCATCTCTCTCTCTCTCTCTCTCTCTCCTCTCTCTGTCTTTCTCTCTCATGCTGGGGATTGAACCCAGGGTCTCATGCATACAAGGCAAGTGCTCAGTAATACTGAGCTGATCTCTCTCCTTAGTCCTAAGTTCACTTTCTTCACAGGACAATAGGTATATTATTTTGGTGAAATTTCTGATTAGTGATTTTAGACATATCCTTTACTAAATATGAGTACAATTTACAAAAAGTATTTTTAAAAGAAGATTCTGGTTCTTTTAATTAAGGACGAAGTCTGTGGCTGTCACGTGGCATTACAAGACAGTCCAGTGACTTCCTTCGGGTAAAACAGAGAGCAGGCACTTAGTACATATTCTGTGAACAGATATTTGCTGAATGGCTAAAAAAAAGTGGTTAGTTCATGGCATTGTGCTTAAGGAGTTTTAATGATCTGCAATAGCTAATACTCCAAAATTCAGTAATTGCAGGCCTGAATTTTGGTCTGCTCTTCATGGGAGTTTTGTTTTGGGGAATTGAACCTAGGGTCTCACACTGGCAAGAACTCTACCACCTAAACCACGCCCCCAGCCTTTCTGTATTTAGATAGTGTCCAGCTTACTTTACCTAGGCTGGTCTCTAACTAATGAGCCTCCTGCCTCTGCCTCCCTAATAGCTGAGATTACAGACGTGCGATTGTGCCCAGCTCTTCGTGGCAGTTCCTAGGGTCACATTCTCTTCTCTGATGACACACTCAAGTCACAATTCTGTCTGCCTGAGTTCAAATGTATTTTAGTTATTTTTAAAAGGTATGTCTAAAATAATGGGAGGATATACTCTTGACTAGTATGCAAAGGAATGTTTGATTAGATTATCATAGTGAGCTTGTAAATGGTGCCTCAACTAGCTGAAATTCAGTACAAGTGCACATTCTTTTATAAAGTGAGTTTGCTAAAATAATTCAATAAAAATTAAAAAATAAATCAGTTATTACTCTTACTGTATTTGTTTATATGTTTTTCTTTAAAGGTTTTTAGCAACTAGTAAATTAACTGTCATTTATTTAAAAATGATTCTATTTAACTCTAAACACATCTCAACAAGTAGTATTTTATCATTGCTGTCAATGCAGTAGGGCCACTGATTTCAAAGTTTTGGTCATAATTTTTAGGGGGAAATATTTATATCATGATACCTGAAATCAAAAATATTTCATGAAGAATTTTTTATATTTGCACACTTATAGACACACACATACAAAAATCTTCTTAGATTCTTTGGACATCATCTCTGGGATGATGCAAAGAATCTAAGCATAATAGTTTGGTGCTTAAGGACAAATTATGAATGTACATAATTTCTATAAAATCATTGTCCTATATACTTTTCAAACATATAAAGTTTAGCTGATTTGATTTGCAGAGGTTTTGCTGATTCTCCCATGCTCTTGTTCTTTCCAGTAGAATCATGAAAATCTTATATGACCTACTTCGGACCACAAAAATGTACTCTACTAACCAAAAGGTTTTGTTTCATATACCTTTTCTGTTATGCTTATAAGATTTGAAATAGAAAGCTAAATAAAAGCCACTTAGCCAAACACGCATACTCACACTTACATGGCGTCTCTGGGTGCAAAGGATTGTAGTGACTTTTTGCTTGAATTTTCTCAATGACTAATTTCAAATAACTGATTACAAAACAACTGGAATTTAAAATTGTGGAGTTTTTTTTTTCTTTACCTAAATAACTTTATGTTCTAACTTGCTCAGATGGATGTGTGTGGGCAGGAGAAACTTAACTTTTTTTCCCCCTTTTTGATGTGTTTCTTAGTTAAGTCTAAAGTTCATTCTGAAAAAAGATTTAAATGTATGTGTGACTGTCTAAGTCCATTTGGGCTGCTATAACAAAATACTTTAGACTGGAAACTATAGAACTACTGTCTGGTGTTGGGAAGTCCAAAATCAAGGTGCCGGCAGTGCTAGTGGCTTCTTGCTGTGTCTTCATGCGACAGAAGAGCTGAACAAGCTCCTGTGGGTCCCTTCTATAAGGGCAATAATCCTGTTAATGAGGCTGGTGCTCTCATGACCAAGTCACCTCCCTAAGGTCCCACCTAAGCTTGGGGGTTAGGTCTCAATTGTAAATTTTGGGAGTGCACATTCAGACCACAACAATAACCAAGATCAGAGTTATGGATAAAATTTTATCATTAGCCTTATCATATTTGTACATTGACGAATTCTTTGAAATGCTTATTTCAGAGAAAGAATCTCAGGATTAGAAGAGGCTATAATCATTTAATTTTACCCTATAATTTAAGTTTTAGAAAAATGATATGGGATAGGTAGTTAGAAAAGGAACAATAGCACAGAGAAGCCAGAAGCACGTGCAGCACAGTATCTGGGTACATCTTGACAAACATCCTGCACCACCATTATCCTGAACAAATAGTTGACCATGGTTAAGGCTGCTTCTTGGTACAGCAGCCAATGATATTCAACAAGGATTCTAGCAGCTGCTTTCTCAACTTTGCAGGTTAGTCAGAGGCCTCATTTACATCTCATTATAGTGGTGGTTTCATGCACGTACCTCTCCTCAAATTGCCATCTTGGTTCTGAGGACACCTTATAAGGTAAACCATTTTCCATTCCCCGATTCTTGAAAATGCTCCCCCATTTTTTTTGGAAAACTCCACAACTGTGTACATATCTTTAACATAATTGTTAAACCCTATCCATAAAAGTCTGACTACTTGGTCAAGTTGTCTACTCTTAGTCTCCTTTAGGGGTGTACTATCATTCTGCAATCACTTCTGCTTCAAGAAGATCTAACTTTGGCTTAAATAATTTGCTGTGTTAAAAGCTCTTGTGTGTTCACCCCTGAACTCTTTCTTCAGTGAGTTCAAGAACCTGACATTCATCTCCATTGACAAAATGATCTTCATTGGCTTTATTTTTAATTCTAGAATTGGGCAACAGTTCATTTCATAAAACTGTAAGTGTTTTGATGGTCTAAGCAAAAGAGACGGTTTTATGGCCAGAAAAAGGTTAAAGAAAATAAAAGCAAAAAGAAAAAAGTAAATTGGACACTTCAAAGTTAACTTACTTCATGGGGGAGTTGGTGTGCAGGGACACAGACTAATAGGAAGCTAACTTATTAGTTAGATCAGGTCATATAAGGCTAACTTATTTTGTGTGAGGACTAAAGTAGAAGTTCATTATCATGATATTTGAAACTAGCTGCTTAGGATATTTGGTTGCTATCTTTTTAATCTTGTTTTCTCAAAAGTTCATCTTAATAGCTTTATTTCAGCCTGGTAATGTGGAATTCTAGCAGGAGTGACTCCATTTTGATTTTCAGCCTGGTCTATTGGGGCCTAGTGCAGGAGGTTAGCCCAAAATCAATAGCCTCTTTGAATTTGTTTTTAAAAACTGTCTACTTATGGTCACCTAAATGATAGTGTACCTAAAAGTTAGAGCATCAGTGCTACTTTTGGTGTGTTAGTTTTCATTGCTGTGAGAAAATACCTGATATGGTAGGTGTGATGGTGCATGCCTGTAATCCCAGCACTGGGAAAGGTGAAGTAGGAAGATTGTGAGTTCCAGATGAGCCTGGGGTACATAGTAAGATGCTATCTCCAAACACAAGAAAGAATAAGAAAAAAGAGAGAGAGAGAAAGTACCTGATACAAACAACTTAAAAGAAGATTTATTTGGGCTCATTGTTTCAGAGGTTTTAGTCCATGGTCACTTGGCTCCATGTTTCTGGGCCTGTGGTGAGGCAGGACATTATGGCAGAAAGGCATGGTGGAGGAAAGCTGCCAGGAAGCAGAGAGAGACAGGAAGAGGCTAGAGACAAGATATACCCTTCAAAGGCATGTGCTCCACTGACATGCTTCTTCCTACTAGTCATAGTCCACTCAGTATAAGCTTATCAATGGATTGATGAAGTTAGTGCTGTTATCCTCCAGTCACCTCTCAATATAGTTACCAGCTGGGGACAAATTATTTGACACATGAGCCTTTTGGGGGACCATTCCATATTCAAACTATTATATTTGGTTACTATCATTTTGGGTTTTTAATCTTCATGC